ACTAAAGACACACCCATACAGGGTACCAAGGGATCTTGATCACAGCATCTCTCAGGGTCGTAGTGGGCAACTAAAGAGAAAGGGAACTTGGCGGAATCACCTGAACTGGATGGATGCAACTGTCAACAGTTGGACAAGCCTGTCGGGTCTTGTGGTTGGCTTCATACAGTCGGACTCCCGAGAAGACCAAACACAAAAACGGGCTCACCACACGCCCATGATGAGCCTACCAGTGAACATCAGGTGCTGTTGGTCTCTCTGCGTGTGCCCCCTTCAAACACCGAACCAACGGGCAATTGTGGACCTGGCGCGAAAGGTCATGTTCAAGTCACCTGAAATGGTGCTATATTGAGAGGGTTCTCAAAATAGGGACCACTAAAAATGCGGTGCGTCCTTTTAGTCTCTCTTCAAAAGGAGCCGAAAAAGGGGGGCCACCATTGTGAACAACCTGCATATAAAGACCCCTGACAGACAGCAAGCAACCGAGTTGAGCCAACAACCCAAGACCCCTGGAACCTTCAGTGTCTGAGGCTCTGGCACCACTTTGCTGATGGACCTTGCAACCACAGGGGATCAGGAGACTCAGCAAGAGTCAAGTGCTGGACAAGTGTTGTGAAACATATGCGTATGTAATAAATAAATATTATGCATACACCATGGAACCCAACCATGAGATACAACCACAAAGTAGGCCAATTGCGTTTTCTCTAGAACTCTGTGTAGGAGGCCCGGTGCCAATGGAGTGCACACAAGGAGACCTCGCGCCATGGCTTGTTTGGCCTCGTGAGTCAAGGCTCCCAGCTGATCATTTTAGGGGTTGTCTCCGCCAGTGCACTTGGCAAGCCGCAAAGACAAAGATCATTTTGGGGGGGTTGTCTCCAAATGGAGAAACCTCCAGCGATGCTCTTCATGCACAGTTTGCACGCTGATCGCCAACAGGCCCAAGGCCCAAGTGGCAGCTGCACCGCCTTGGAACCAAATCATATCTAAGCGTAACAAGGGAACAAATCACTGGGCGTGGCCTTGAAGGAATTTGGATGCCTCTGCCCATGCCCCACACACTCCCCAGCATTTGCTCAAATGCCACTCCTCCCATCTGACTCATCCCAATGCTGGGGCTCCCGGACGTTTTGCCGGCTTTAGGCAGCCCGCACATCACTATCTGGCCAAGCCGCGAGTTCCATGAGTCGTGCCGCGAGTTTCCAATGGAAACAGAGCCCTCTCTCGGCTCAGGGGCAACGAGTAACGTTGCGTTTGGCAGAAGGCATGCAGCGAACCTTGCGAGCCCTCTACATACAGCTGCCACGGGAAAGCCATGCGTCCAAACAAGAAGCAGCGTGTGTCATGGCCTGGGCTCCGTGTTTCTCGTTTGACATGAAAACTGAACAGGCTGTGGTGCAACATGAGACGTTCATGGCAAGCCGATCTTGTAGAGGACCGTCTGTCGAGATCCCACCAAGAGACCTTGTACTCTGATCCTGGTTGGAGATCCTGCAAAGGATCTGTCGCACCTTACGTATGAGCACCTTCCCAGTCACTTGCCCTTGTAGTAGGCAAACAGTTATTTTCGCTTTTGTTTTTTTTACAAATGGTGGTTCTGAGATCAGGCACAGGGCGTTCTCTATAAATCCTGTCCATATCCCTGTTTCACACATCCTGCCATGCAACCGCATTGAAAAAAGGCCCCTGACAGCAATCTGGCGCGTGGTCCCAGCTTCCTCCTTACACTATTCGGGGTCTCTCTCGCGGGTGTACTTCAAGCAATACCCCAGAATCTCTGCTTCCAACCTCCCCTCTTTCACCAGATGGATGCAAAGAATCTATCCTTCTTATCCACCCGTTTTATTTTCCTGGACCCTCACGGAATTCACCCCACACGCATGGGCAATAACCCATTTCCATGGGCATTTTGGGGGGCTGTTCGGCTGTTCGGCGGACTCCCTCACACCCGCCTTCGGAATATCCTCCATGGACGCCATGGCCCCTGAGTGCTGCAGGCTTCGACTTTTTGACCCCCGACATGACGAAGCCCGGGGTCATGCCCCTCGAAAACATGAGATATGTCCTGTGAAATCAATTCCCTTTTAGAACCAAGAGGGGAGAATATAACATAGTCCTTTCAGCAAATGGAGGACAATGACATAAACCCGGGGCCATGTGCCTTTCAGGGAACATCTTGATGTTCCAAGCCTTTGCCTGTTTGATCCGAAATCAAGTTTCTTCCATGAGGCACGTTGTCAACCTATGCTCAGATTGGTTGCAGTGCACAGCCCATCTGAAGGAGTTGGAATAAATTAATACCCTCCCGCCAATTCACATGGAGCCGAACAGGGGGGTCCTGGAAGACCATTTTCCTTTTCAAGGGACCCCCGAACGTCAGGTTCCGTGTTAGTAGGTGACTGGGTAACCAACTCAACAACAAGGCCCCCTCACTTTGGCATCGCAAACACCAGGTCGCAGAGGTGGCAATACCTCACCCAGACTTCACACATTTAGACGAGTCATCCTGCCCCCTTCCATCCCCTCCGCTGACTGGTCAATATTCAGCCGATGGACCAAGGTCCCTGAAATCCGCCGGGAAACACAACATCACGCACCCGTTGAACGACGCTTCCTGACGTTCCTTCCATTTCCTCTCCTGGGAATACGCAGATGTTAACCAGTGTTTTTTCATTTGCCAGGGCAACCCATCCCATTTGGGACCACCAATGTTGAGCCAAAACTCATTTTCACCGGGGCAACCCATTTTGAGACCACCAATGTTGAGCCAAAACTCATTTTCACCGGGGCAACCCATTTTGGGACCACCAATGTTGAGCCAAAACTCATTTTCACCGGGGCAACCCATTTTGGGACCACCAATGTTGAGCCAAAACTCATTTTCACCGGGGCAACCCATCCCATTTGGGACCACCCATGTTGAGCCAAAACTCATTTTCACCGGAGCAGCCCATTTTGCGACCACCAATGTTGAGCCAAAACTCATTTTCACCGGGGCAACCCATTTTGGGATCACCAATGTTGAGCCAAAACTCATTTTCACCGGGGCAACCCATCCCATTTGGGACCACCCATGTTGAGCCAAAACGCATTTTCACCGGAGCAGCCCATTTTGCGACCACCAATGTTGAGCCAAAACTCATTTTCACCGGGGCAACCCATTTTGGGACCACCAATGTTGTGCCAAAACTCATTTTCATCGGGGCAACCCATTTTGGGACCACCAATGTTGAGCCAAAACTCATTTTCACCGGGGCAACCCATTTTGGGACCACCAATGTTGAGCCAAAACTCATTTTCACCGGGGCAACCCATTTGGGACCACCAATGTTGAGCCAAAACTCATTTTCACCGGAGCAACCCATTTTGGGACCACCAATGTTGAGCCAAAACTCATGTTCACCAGGGCAACCCATTTTGGGACCTCCAATGTTGAGCCAAAACTCATTTTCACCGGGGGCAGCCCATTTTGGGACCTCCAATGTTGAGCCAAAAACTCATTTTCACCGGGGCAACCCATTTTGGGACCACCAATATTGAGCCAACACTCATTTTCACCAACCCATTTTGGGAGCACCAATGTTGAGCCAAAAACCATTTGCGCCCCAGAAACGCGCGGAATCTCCCCCAAATGGCCTGGCTCAGCCGGCGCCGGCTCCGAGCTCGGCCCAACACAGCTGCGGGATGAACAGTCGCGACCTCCCAGTAGATCCCAGCTACCCTTGTAGGTAACCCCTGAGGTTCAGTCACCACCATCAAAACAAAGGGAGTTATTGTAGCCACCCTTATTTCTCGACGATACAAGCATGTAGTGACAGGAAGGCATGCGGCATGCGTCAGCCACGTAGGCCTGCCCACCTGGAATCCAACAGTGGTGGTCCTATGGTGTTTCAGAATCCCTATGACGTGCCTGGGCCTGCGGATGGTACCCTTTCTGGAGGGAAACCACAGGCAAACCACCGATTTTGAGGCTCATACCTTTTCTTGGGGGGTGATATCGAGCGAGGCCTACTTCTTGGAGTACTTCACTTTGGGCGTCAAAGGCAAATGGTTCGAGTGTTTGTTCTTTCCTTGTTCGCGTTGCGTTCCTGTGTTTTCCCCGTCGGCTCCGTTTGTTTGTTCGATGTTTTGGTTTGCACCACCTCAACTGGAAGCCTCACATGGGTCAAACAACGAATGGTTGTCGTCCCAGACCATCCATGTTCTTTCCACGTGCATCAAAGACGGGCTCCAAAACAGCGTCGTATGCCAAATGGGCAGTGTTTAGCTTGACATGTTGGTCTTACCCAGATCCATTTACCTGAAAGGACCAAGAGGAACATGACGAAACGTTGCCATTCAAAGACTGGTCGACCCAATTGGATGCCACCCACAAACTGGCACCCTCAACAAAAAAACCTCTCGAGCACAAGCAAGTGGGGGCCACCATTCCATTGTCGTCGAGTTGTAGTCATTGCCTGGACCAAAGAAATTGTTTGGATTTGGACAAGGGGGCAGCACATCCAAAATGACCCATGGCAGTCAGGGGCCCCTGCAAAGAGGGGATCCCCAACAAAAAGGACGCCTGTTAGCCCCTAGCACTTACGAGTTGCAATAAAGCCCCCTATTGGGATTGAAAAAAAATCGGCCCCGATTGTGGGGGGGGCGCTTGGCAACCGTACAAAAGCCATTTCGCTTTCTACGAGATGGTTGATGCTCAAGCGACCCAGAAGTGCCCCAAATTGCCCCAAATGGACATACCACTCCCATAGGGATGTACCCTGTAGACAATGTATAACCACTAATTGTGGAGAATGTACTTTTGGGGTATGCGGCTCTTAGAATACAAATTGTGCATTCGTCGCAATATAATATAATGGGATGTGATATGTATATATATATGTATATATATAAGATAAGATTAAAGAAATACAATACGATACGATACACATATAATATCATACAGAACCTCGTTTTTACTCCGCTCCAAAAATCGTTTGTGCGGTGCCGGCGAGGACGTCCTTCGCAAAGCCTGGCATAGGCCGCCAGCCACCCGGGGAGGGTGGCTTCGACCGCCTCCTTGCCCGCCTGCGATGCCGCTTTGACGCTTCGATGTCGGGCGTGCCTTTTTGTAGACCCAAAACGGTGGTCCCAAAATGGTGGTTTAGTGGTGGTCCCAAGATGCCTGTTTTTGGACCCAAAATGGTGTTGTCCCTTTGATCTTCCGCTAATAACCACCAAAAAAGGGCACCTTGTTTTTGTGGACTTCCCTAAAATGGTGGTCTCCCTTTTTTGTTCCTCCAATATCCATCAAAAAGGGTACCATCAACAAAAAGAACACCCATTCTCAATGGGGGGGAGTCTACTTGTACCTCTGCATCCTTTGTCGTCTGAAAATCACGCGGGGGACTCTGCGCCATATGCAGTGGACCTTAAAATGTAGAATTGCAGTCCTGATGTCATTTGGAGGATTTAGGGAAGACAAGACTCCTTTTCCCCCCTTGGGTGATGCCTAAAAAACGCAAACCCCGCTCGTCAGATGGTGTTCGTAAACCCATCGGGCAAGCTAACGAATTTTGGGGAGCACCTATTCACGCAAGGGAATACACAAACTCCCACCTGGTCATGTCGTCAAACGAGGGACGACAGAAATGCTGGGGGTTTCTCCTAGCTATCCTTTTGCAATAATGAACATGTGCCCTACAACCAGGCGTGCCTCTCAGCATATAGGGTTGATCAAGGGTGTGTTTAGGATTGACCGACAGACGGCTAGGGCGTTGGGTTAGTTTAGGATAATAAGCTGTTGGCCTGGTTTAGATTTTGTCAGGGATAGGTTTGGGTTGCATGTGTAGGCCAGGCTTAGGCTTGGGGTGGGTAGGTCCTCCATTAAAGAGGTTAGAATAAGGGTACCAATTGTATCTGTAGTCTATTTTAGTAGGGGAACCCTGCCCCAAAGAAGAAAGGGTCAAAGGGCACCTAGCTGGGAGACCTAGCTTTAAGCCGCTTGCATTTCATCCCGAAGAGGTGAGCTCCAAAGGCCTCGCCCATGCTGGCCATCACCGAGGTGACGCCTGGGCCAACAAGCAACCTCTCGGACCCCGGGGGGGTTTTCCAGGCAGAGAAGCACACCCTTTGGTTGGTTTCAGCTGCCCTCGAGTTGGTGATTTCGATTAGTCTGGAGGGTAAGGCTGGTTTGTGTTTTGGCCACAAGAACCAGGAGTTCAAATATCCCAAACCACCAATCCAAACCACCAATTAATAAGGGTTACCTAAGAATCGGTTCATTCGAGGAAAAAACATGGAAAAAACAGCTGAAAAGGACGAACAAGGACACCACTGGTCTGGAACGTGGAACCCCAAAAAGGATCTAACAGAAGTTTCCTCGAATGACACAAGTTTCTGTACCCGTTCGTTACCAAGACATGGTCTCGGAAAGGCCTCCCGGCAATATCACAGCGGACCCACTTTCGCAACCAGGGAGCTACCTCCGTTTGAAGGCAAGGACAAAAACCGTCACAAGAGTGAACCTAACACGTCACCGAACAAGCAATTGGACACCGGAGAATTGCATCTTCCAGGGGAACCCGAAGATTGCCCTTAGACCATTTAGAGATACATCTTTCTTCGGAGCAGAACTCGATTCATCCAAAGCGCCACCAATTCATCGCGTAGGTCCCCAAAACTATTTGGACCCATCGTGATGTACGTGGAGTTGGGCCGTTATAAACACAACCTGGGGCTCAGGCAGGCCACCATTAAGACCGGTGGGATAATATGTCACGACCATTGCTTGCCCTTCACAACGTTCATCATCCGAATGGGGTCCTTGCCATTCCTTTGAGACGGGTGAAACATCATGGTATGTGCATGTATTGTATGTGTGTATGTATGTATCACCAATGTAGGATTTTCTTCAGGTCACCATCTCAGATCACCAACCAGCACAGCCAAACCTGTCCACGCACCTCGGGCTGAAACAGAAACAAGATCCCAAGGTTGTGACGAAGCGAAAAGTTGTTTTTGTGATACCAACATAGGCCGTCCCCATACTTCCTCACTTTATGGGAATTCCCTTGGCATCAAAGAACATGGCCCCAAAACCCCGTTGACTTCCTTGTGCCTTGCGGCTTTCTCACAGCATCCAAAAGGATACGCCCCGATTTCGAGAAGCACCCAATTCCGCGATGTCAACATCGCGGTGTCCGGACTTCGGCTCCGAGCTGCCGAGTCTTCCGTTTGCTGATTTGTCGCCTGGACCAAAACTGCAATAATATTTCCAGTAGTGTTTCCCAAAAAGCAAACTGGCGAATTAAGAGATCTGATGTCCTTCACAATCCCCACGCGAATGATGTCCACCAATCTGGGTCCCTTATTTTAACAACGGCAGGAGCCGCGGTGCGTTCGTTTTTTCTCTGCGAAGGCGTGGTCCGGCGTGCGGCGGGGCAGCTCGGCATCCCAGGCAGCCCGGAAGGGCCGAGAGGGATCAGCACAGTCGGCGCAGCGGCGGCAGCCGGGGAAGGCGCCGGAGGGGCCGAAGCTCCAAGCCTGTTGGGATTGGTTGGGGGGTTGGGGGGTTGGGGGGGGTTGTTGGGGTTGGGGTTCAGGCTTAGGGTGGGGTTGGGGTCGGGGGTTTGGGGGGTGTGGGGTTGGAGGGTTGGGGAATAAACTTTCTGTCCATCTTCAACATTCAAATGTACACCACCCTAAGTTCCTTATCCACCAATTCACTCATTCATTTTTCACCCTGCAGAGCCCCGCAATTCCAACATGCTCACCCATGCATATCTTGTTGATCGGAAAGTGGCCACCATCTTCAACATATGTTGGCCATTTAATTTGGAGAAGCAATTGGCTGTGGCTGCCTGGCCCCCCATTTCATCAGTTCCTTGCTTGGCTGCTCATCCAACTCAGCCCAAGCAGCTCTATCAAAATTGTCCCTGTACGTTCAGGGGCGCACCACCCCCACCTCGGGGGGGGGGGGGGGGGGGCAGGACTTGCAGCTCCTTGACCAGCTGGGCAATCTTTGCAAGATTGCTCCAGCTGGCCTTCTTGGCTTTGTGTGTGCAGCTGGTACTGGAGCTGCTGAGCCACAAGCTGCAAGGACATCATCATCATCATCATCATCATCATCATCATCATCATCATCATCATCATCATCATCATCCGGCCCCCCTCTGTCAGAATGTCTAGAAGTAAAGTTTTGAGGGAACTCTGTCAGTCCCAAGCAAGCAAGCAAGGCAAGGCAAGGCAAGGCAAGGCAAGGCAAGGCAAGGCAAGGCAAGGCAAGGCAAGGCAAGGCAAGCAAAGCAAGCAGCAAGCAAGCAAGCAAAAGCAAGCAAGGCAAGGCAAGGCAAGGCAAGGCAAGGCAAGGCAAGGCAAGGCAAGGCAAGGCAAGGCAAGCAAGCAGCAAGCAAAGCAAGCAAAGCAAGCAAGCAAGCAAGCAAGGCAAGCAAGCAAGCAAGCAAGCAAGGCAAGCAAGCAAGCAAGCAAAGCAAAGGCAAGGCAAGGCAAGGCAAGGCAAGGCAAGGCAAGGCAAGGCAAGGCAAGCAAGCAAGCAAGCAAGGCAAGGCAAGGCAAGGCAAGGCAAGGCAAGGCAAGGCAAGGCAAGGCAAGGCAAGGCAAGGCAAGCAGCAAGCAAAGCAAGCAAAGCAAAGCAAGCAAGCAGGCAAGGCAAGGCAAGGCAAGGCAAGGCAAGGCAAGGCAAGGCAAGGCAAGGCAAGGCAAGCAAAGCAAGCACAGCAAGCACAGCAAGCACAGCAAGCAAAGCAAGCAAGCAAGCAAGCAAGCAAGCAAGCAAGCAAGCAAGCAAGCAAGCAAGCAAGCAAGGAGGGGTTGGGGGGGCGGGTTGGGGGCTCGGGGGGTTGGGGTTGGGGGGCTTGGGGGGTTGGGGGTGGGGGGGTTGGGGTGGTTGGGGGGGTTGGGGTTGGGTTTGGGGGGGTGGGGGGGTTGGGGTGGAATGGACCAGACTTGATTGAATTGGCTTTGGCTTCGAACAGCAAACGAGAGATGGAGAAGGGTTGAGGATGGGGTTGGGAGGTTCACGGGTTTCAGGTTGGGGGAAGTTGGAGGTTTTGGGGATTTTGTTGCTGCCCCATATTTTGTGGCTCTTAAAGGGAAACCAAAAGGAAAACCTTTAAGCCATCTGGGGGTAGCCTACACCCAGTGTTGGTTTGGGGGTTGGACTTGGGGGGTTGGAGGTTTTGAGGTTAGGGGCTTGGAGGTCTGTTCCACGATTTCATGGTCTGCCGGGCTCATGGTCAAAGAGTGCCCTGAAAGTAGCCAACTAGACATTGACATCTTCGGATCATGGCCCATTTGTGGACCTGGGCAACACCAAACGGCACACGGAAGCCTGTAAGCCTCGTAACATACCCTGCCGCAAACATCGAAGCTGCAAACGGGTCGCTGAAAAGGAAATAAAAGGGTTTTCCAGGAACCACCAGCACAGTCCAGCCGTACAAGGAGAAATTGTCTTCCAGGAGCAGGGTGTTCCATGTTTCTTTCTGGGGAGGTCTTCCATTCACCAAAGCTTCCATAAAACAACTCATAGAGTGATCCAATTCTCCGGCCATGCCTCTGTCTCTGTCTCAGGCACCGCTGCGAAAGCTGCCTGCCACACGTGTCGCCCCGTCTCAAGCGCAAGCTGACTGGAAACCAAGCAGGGCCCTTTCCACCATAGACCATAGATGGTTGATGATGGCCCTGGTAGATGATTGAACCATAAACCAGGGCCATCTATTTTTCTAGCAAAACAACCAAAATGGATATATGAGCAGGGCCCTGTCCACTCTTATGTGAGCCAAACAACTTTGAGGAAGTGGCTGTTGAACTGAATGGTCTGCAAAGAATGGAACATCACTCAAGCCCAACCAACTGGGTCCACAAAAGCCACATCCTCCTCAAGTACACTGGGGGCAGGGGGTCGGATACATCTCTGGAAATTCAATTAAGGCTCATTAGGGGGGGTGTTCCTCATTTCGGGATGAGAGAAGTCCCAATTGCTTTTGCCCTAACAGCTGAAAGCTATGGGGTCTCTGCCCAAATAAGCTCTGGAGTAGCCTTTAGGAAGGGTTCCAGAAGGGTTCCGGGTCGCTGTTGGACATAATTGCTCGGGCTCAGGTTTCTTCATTGGACCTCCCGGTAGCATTTCGGATTCATCGGCCAATTTGAGCAGGTGATGCTTTACGAAACATGGCAATCACTCCCTCAAACCTCACTCAGGGAGGTTCCCGGGCAACCAGGGCAACCGAAGATATGCGAGGAAGTGCGATGGACATTAAACGGGTCCCGGGTCCCTGTGTCTGGTGCATATTCTGTGCCAAATTTGTCTGTCCTCTTTCCGGTGCCTGTAAAAAAATAAGCAGGGGTTCCGAGTAGTGTTTGTGGCCAGCATTTTGAGCACATACAACAATTCGTTCAGGGGGTGACAGTCTCTGTCGAGCACTCTCTTCTACTTGCAATTGATTTTGGCTTGCAGTGTCTTCGGTCTTGGCGGGGGTCCCCGCAAACCCTCCACCCAACAAGACGAACTTGCCGGGGTCGAGTAATTTACTTAGCAGGGAGCATACAATTACCCATACCATGCTGGTTTTATGGGCCCGGTTCCCACCCCCCAAAGCTACTTGGGAACCTCTCTGTTGCACTTCCGGGCACCCCTTTTTTGCACTCACCTCCTTTCAGAGCTCCCTTCTACTCCTACCGTTTCAGCCCCCTTACTTGGCTGACGTTGGAAGGGGAGCAAAAATTGTGTTTTTTAGCAGTTAAGTGGACATTTCCCACTATACCACAATATGCAAAAATGTAATATGTGTCCCACTCAGTTGTTCAGTGACCCTGGAGAAAAAAAGGAACCCTTTTGGGGGCCTGGACCATTTTTAGTGGGGCAGCCACCAAAAAGAAGTAAAAAGGAAAAAGGATCGGTGCCACTGAACAACTGAGCCAACAACAGCCATGCTTGGTGATCCCTTTCAGTTCGTTGCCCCAGAGCCTTCCTTCCGGCCTCCCGCCTTCCAGCCCGAGAAGTGGAAGTAGGCCGCCTCCCCGCAGGAGCCCACGTGCCACACCCGGCCTC